GTATCGAACTCTACAAGATTCCATATCTCTCTTAGCTCATCGTCCTCCCACTGGAGCCGAAGTCTTCCAACCGAGTGCCTGAAGCCGTTTGGGTAACAATTCAGTTCATTCTATCTTGGCAAATGGCTTTGGCTACTGTACACGCTGCCGGACGTCTTGGGAAGAACGGCATAGTATTAAGATGGCTATCGATAGAGAAACTGACCCTAAAGTGAATCTGCGATGGAGAGCTACTCACAGATATATAATTTGCTGGATCGGATGTTAGGTTGGAGATGACCACGGTCCAATCATACAGAATTATACGCGCTCCACAGGACTGCACCCTGATAATGACTATAGATCAGTGACGAAACCGATCGCGCCGAATCGCCCACTTTGTTTAAAACTTTCCTCGCGTGGGAAACTTGTACTAGCTACAGACGCGGTGGAGGATAATACAAAAACATGGAAACACCCCTATGAGAGACAACTGCTTGCGAAGGAGAAATGACCTTAGCCGCAGCAGCGAATGTCGCCTAGCATCAATTTGGGGTACCATTTCTAACGATCAGACAGTATAAACCTGGGTTATTCCGATGCTAAAGCTCTGTTAGCAACAAATGACGATGGCAAAACAACAACCAAGTGCATTTTCACTGTTTCGACGGAAATCAGTTCTGTATTCATGACAGCCAAATTCTGGATGCATTACTTGCAACCCATTAGATTAGAAAAAAGTAGTCCCGTTTTGACGAAGCTTGTGTCGCTATAACTTTCTCATATTCAAACAAAGCAAAGTAAAACAAAGAAAGTTGTTACAAAGAAACAAACAAAGTATTTACAAAAAAAATAATTACGACCTTTCAAGACCGTTAAAAGCGTTCATTCGTAATGGGGTCAAAATATTTTGGCTGACCAAACGTCAGCCTTCAGCAGGTCAAATTTTTGATAGTGCTCACTCAACCCGTTGAAGACAGACATCAACTGGTCGAAATAATGCATGCACTGTTACAAATAAAGTCGTGGTAAGCTGAAATTTTTGTTTACATTTACTACGAATAATTTTTGAAGTGCTTTTCTGACTATATCACGAACACAAGCACCCTCAACATGATCACTGCTTTGCAAAAAAACGTTATGAAGCTAGGTCAACGCTCACCGTGATAAATCCATAGCCGCGCGATCGCCCAGATTCCGGATCTTTCAAGAGCTGAATGCTGTCAATCTACAACGAAACAGAATATCGTCAAAATCTACTCAAAAATAACAAAAACGAATACCTTGCCGAATGGATCAAAGATACCGCGCAGCATATCTTCACTGATATTGAAATGCAATGAACCAACGTACAATTTCATTGGTCCGCGATTCTGTCCAAAGGCGGTCGCAAGCATGGCTGACGCCATGCGATTCTTTTCTGACTGAGTCGGCTGAACAACTATAGGTGCGCCTAAAAGTCGCTGGCCATGCAACCCTAATGCCTAAAAATAGCCAACTGATCACAAGTCTTGCGAAGGCATAATAAAAACATTCATTCAGTATCATCGACAAAAATCATTAATGCAATGATGTTTGTATACAACATCAAACAATGAAAATCATTCCTTTTCCGTAAACATTCCAGGATCCTATATAAGAATTCACAATAAAAAAACAACATGAAAAACCTAAGCGATATGATCACTATAGATTCTATTTTCAAGATATAAAGCAACGCTGTTTAGATTAATAGTCGTGACACTGCTACCAGCGAAAGAGCACTCGATTTGTCAACCATAAATATTCCTAGACACCTACGAAATCCTCTATGTTCGCCATAGTCCTCAAATTTGTGCACTGAGTTAATTCAAATGCATGGACCACTGAATCTTACAACAGTACGGGCCTTCTTAACCATTATATGATCCACAGAGCGACTAGCAGTTAACTATTCCTGAAACTACGTTAAGATCGTTATGTGCATTTTGCAAAATCCCTAAACAGTTTTGCCAAGAGTGATAAAATAAGTTAATAAATTACAAGATGCGGCGTGAGAGAGACTGAGAATTGGCCTGTACTTCATACTCGAATCGACTAAGAGAGAACATGTGCTACTGCCTCCACTAAAATTACTCATCTGCTGTAAAAGATATTGGTCAGTGTAGGATTCTCCATATCAGTAGGATTCATGCTATACACAGCGAAACCTCTCGAAGTCGATCATCGCGAGTCCCATGCAAAAGTACGGTATCATTCCGTATGGTGAACGTTTCAAAGGCTGAATATTAAATGCTTACTAGTCAAGGGAGTTACTTGTTTACACAGAAGCTCGATGTAACAAGTACTTTTAATACAATCATATTACTGAAGAGTCATAGAAGTATTTCAGCCAGTGACACGCAAAGACAACTATTGGCGCAAAATCTAGGTGCTGCAAAATACTTTTTAAATTAGTGGGCGTTTTGTGCATTCGTAGCTGTGGCATAAAGTTTCGTTCCACTGTCTACCCTCACCTATACTAGCAAAAACGGGATACCGAAAAGGTGGATACAAGCGATAATAAGGGTTCCTCAAAAGCTAGCTGGTTGGATAGAGCTTGATTCAGAATAAGACAATCTAAGATATTCTTACTTGGCAGATGAACAACAAGTAAAAACTTCTCACCAGGAACACACTGGAAGCAAACTCTTAGAGTCAGATAGATAACTTGCACTAAATACCTAGGCATTGCTAGCCATATAAAACAATTCTTGAATTGCGGTGGATGAGTATCGTTGGAAATAATCTGAAGCTGGTGCTCCTACTTGGTACTGAAAACTGTTCTGTTTGATAAAATGACGAGACTGGCAAAGGAGGATCCTGTTCAATGTCTTCATGGCAACTTCAAGCAACAGAGTCTCTTCACTCCTTTGCTGGCAGTGTGTCAAAGACAAACGATCGTGGGGAACGTGAACAAAGAAACAGCTTGCACAAGCAGGCCCGCGAGTTATCGAACAGTAATATAATTAAATTAAAAAATAATTTAATTCCGCCACTCCTGAAGGACACAGTTCGTTAGTGCAATGTTCCTAATGCCTAATCCGCGTTTTGATGAAGCTTTCTTTGCAACCGAGAATGAATAGCTGGCTAAAAATTTAACAAAGGAACAAACTGAACTTGACCCACTCAAGAAACTGATGACAACAGAAATACGTGCGAGAGAATGGCATCTATATATAAGTAGACTACAGTTTACAAACTGCTCAATACAAATGATTTACATGGCCCAAAAATGGTTTCTCAAGCATGCACTAGAAGTCCATAAACAGAGACCGAAGATGTTTTTTTCACTACAAAAAAGTTTCTCAAGCGTTTTGAATCAATTGCTTCTCGAATCAAGCCAAGTGTAGGGCAACTCATTAAGCCAAGGAGGCAACTGAAATATACTTCTCCGGAGAAAGCGAAATAAAACATGTTCGCCAAGAGAGGTTTCACTATGCAGTCTTCATTCATATGACATACATCATATTAAAATTAAATTTCACTGACGTATCGCATGTAAATTAATTTCCTGTGTCATAAAATATGAATTTACACACGACTGAATGTCTCCAAAGGTGCAGCAAATGAAAAAATTGATATAACTCGCCTGCAAAGTAATAGGTTGTTCCTACAACGAATATACATATTTAAGAATTTGTGAGACCCGGTGAAGTTGGACTTACCATTTCTCAGTGCTTGAACGAGTCAGGAACAAAGCTCTGAGAAATTAGCATACTTAACATTATAAAAAATGCATTCATTAAACCAGCAGGTCAAGCTTCTTCATCAGGAATTACTGGATGGATGAATGCGGCAAAAGCCAGAAGCCTGGTAGAGAAAAGCGTAACTAAAACAGAACCGCCAGAAGAAATCTAAAAAACACCAAAAAGAAATGCAAACTGTTTTGCGTCAGGGCAGCGGCATTTCTCCTAAAATCGCACAAACTTTGCCTAAACATAGCATTTGAAAGGACAGACTTAATTTACAGTGGTGACTGCAGCCGAGTCCTAAAAGACAGCATAACTTACTTTGCAGAATTTGCAATCTGGCCGGGTAAACAAGCTACCTATTTGGAAAACAACACGATTTCAGCGCATGGATGAATGATCGTTTAACTAAAATAGCCGTAAAAGGACAGACAATAAAAACTACCGGTAACAAGACTTGGGGAACGAAATGACCACTTTTATTTACGAAGAAACGTGAGTATCATACAGTGACCTATGCCTGGTATTAGATTACAAGGATGCATTACAATATGAGGCGATCCCACAGTAGTCTATCAAGAAATCTGTTTGGTGCGAACTGCCAGTACGTTTATTTTTCACCTGGATTCCAAACTGCTGCTCGTTATGTCACGACTTCACCACACGTGTATTTGAAAAAGTATGCTGCTATCGTACTGACCCACTGTGTTCATGAAGTATGCAGATAATCAGTAATAAACTGTTTGGGCAGAAGTCCTTACAGATCCAGATTAATCTAACTTGACAGTCAGTCTGTCAGACTAGTTTAGAGTTTTAAGGGCAAGGTGGTTACAAAAAAGAAACGGTCGAATGTCTCAGACATGCTCTGAAACAGAATGAATGTCTAAGCAGTAGTCAAAAGTTTGCTTTGAGACCGCAGCGGAAACAAATGATGACCCGTTACAAAAACAATCACGTGGCTTTCACGTAAGCCCCACATAACAGACTCAACAAACTTAAACTTAACTTAAACAAACACGCATTTCGATCAGAAGCTACTCTCTCTGTGTCTTGACGAATGAATTCCGCCGAGTGTTTGCACCTAGAAACGTACGAGAAAGCACGAAACAGTTCGCCTAAAAGGAAAACAGTACATAACGGTACAACAGGCTAAGAACAAGGCGAGACGAAAGTGTTCAGGAGTAAGTTTAGCGGGTGAGTGCGACGAACGATCACAGTCTAGTGACTTGACCGCGGTTTCACGGTTCTCCCTAGAAGCAAATTTACAATCTTTCGCTAGCTACGTTTGGTGCCTTAGAGATCTCGGAGGCACGCATTTAGGCAACCCACATACCACGAGGCCACGCTGCCTAAATAGGAAAACCTGTTAACGAGCGCACGTGCTTACCATGACAGTATAAAACGCGAATGAGTTTTGACCATTGGAAAATTTTTGACCACTGAAAATGAAATGCCTCTTAGCTTCCGCTGGTTAACGTGAAGCACTATTTCAGACTTTCGCGAGCTTTCCTCTTAGTTATAAAATCGTAACATCTGCAGAATCGGTTCGACATCAAGGGGAGCTGGCACAACCATTACCTACAGTACCACTCGATAAATTATTTCGTCAGAGTTGGCAATTTACATTACATTAATTTAATTTTGATGTTAACTGCAATACACCGTTTCAAACACACGTCACACTCACGACTTTAAAGTCATTCAATCGGTATATTCAAAAAACAGCGCCTATATATTTCAAAAGAATACATATATATATTTATCTTTAAATTTAAATAAGAAACAAAGTCAAACATTCAAGCCCAATATTAAGTATTGCGCTACAAGACCAAAGTATACTGAGAATTTATTGCCATTTGTTGTTATGCCACAAAATCTTGCAACAGGTGAACAATCGTGGCAACGCCATTAATGGCAGTGCACAGCGAGGGGCATACCCAAAAAATATGGAAAACTCAGATGA